TAGTCATTTCTTGGAATTCGGGCTCGGGAATCGAGAATTTTAAAAGTGACAATTTTGAGCGGCCGATGACGTTTTTGGCTTGGCCAACCTTGGGGCCACCCATTTCTGCAAAAAAATGAATTTCGGTCCGGGACCGGAAAAATGACCGTTTTGCCCCTGGGACCGCGAACGAATTTTTAGGACTGGATTAAGTTGGGGGACTGAGAAATACCCAGTGTGGCCGAAAATTGAAGGACAAGAATGCCCTTTGACTTTTTGGGCAAGAACGATCGTGGGCCGTCAAATTTTGGATGAGATTGAATCGTGGCCGTTAGATCGGAGGGTAGTGAGAAGGGTATTTTGGTAATTTCCGGGAGGCAATTATTGGGGTTAGATTATAAAATTAGTTTTTCTCTCTCTTTCTCTCTCACTTTCACTCTCACGCTCTCTCTCCTCACCCCCCCTCCCCACCGATCGGTCTTTCTCTCTCCCCTCCCCCGTGCGTGAGCCCCTTGGCCGGCCACTAGTCTGCCCAGCCGCCTGGTCGCCCCCGGCCAGCCGTCCGCCGCCGCTGCCCTTCCTTCGTCAGCCGCGCCTCACCACCGCTCGTCTCCCTCTCTCTCTGTTTTCCTGTTCCGATCAACCCAGCCACCGCCGAGCCACCTCTGGTCGCCCTCCCCTGTCCTGTACGACCAGGACGCCGCCCCCAACCGCCCGTGAGCCGCCCTCCAGCCGCCCGTCCACGGAGGAGCAGCCGCACGCCCGCCTGGTCGCCAGCGACGCTGCTGCTGCTGCTGGTCCGGCTGTTCTAGCCCCTGTCCGGCCAGTTTGCCCTGTTTTTCTTAGGTAAGTGACCTCCCCAAATGTCGTCTAGGACTTCGGGTATTGCTAGGCTCGTTTAGGGCTCGGTTTAGGGGGTTTATGTGGCTGTTTTGGGCGTAGATCAAGGCTGGATGTTCGGGTTGTTATGGACTGATTTAGTGGTTGAAAATCTGTGGTTTGGTAGGTTCGGATAGGGCTGAGATAGGGCTGAGGTGTTATGGATTGATTGTGGCTAAATTGTGCGATTGATTGGTAGGAATATGCCTTGAATCGAATTGTGTATGTGGTTGTGCGAATTGTGGATGTTGGCTGGTTTAGAATATGTTCTAGGCTGATTGTTGTTTGGCCGTGTGCCTCGTGTGTGTGGCCGTGAGATGTGGTGGTGTGGTAGTGCGATTGCACAATGAGTTCGCGTGTCAAGTATGGGTGTTTGTTTGGTGCTTGTGTGGTGAGAATGTATATTTGCGAAGTGTATGTGGAATGTGAGATTGGGTATGGCCGTGAGTACATGTGGTACGTGTGGAGAGTGTGGAACGAAGGTACGGGAATGTAGGATTGGTTGGAAAAGGTCCGTCCTGAGGCGTGTTCGTTTACGCGGGACGATGCCGTCCCTGACGAGGTGACGATGCCCGGCCCGACGGGGTGTCGATGCCTGACGAGGTCAAAAGACCGTTGGCCTGATGCGTTTTACGCGGGCGCGGTAGAAGGGAAGTTGAGTGTAGGATTCCGTCCTGAGGCGTGTTCGTTTACGCGGGACGATGCCATCCCTGACGAGGTGACGATGCCCGGCCCGACGGGGTGTCGATGCCTGACGAGGTCAGAAGACCGTTGGCCTGATGCGTTTTACGCGGGCACGGTAGTGGTGGAAAAGTTGAGAATGAGTTGGAATTGGCAGACGTGGGGGAATTAACGCATGGCGTGAGTTTGCGTGCGAGTGTGGTTGGTATTGCGTAGCGTAGTGTTCGATTATAGGATAAAAACTACTAGGCATGGTATAGGACGTGCACAAGTGGGTTTTACATTATAATCGAGGCACGCGCGCGGCTGTGTTGTATTACTATGGAATGTGGACTGTAATGTTATCTAACATGCAGGGACGTGCATGATGGGTTCCAGGTAAGAGTGCATGTGTTTGTGAGCATGATTGATCGTTGGGTGTTATGTGTGTTTCGTCTGGCGGTACGTGAGTGCCTACGTGGGGTTTGGGATTGTACACTTATTGAGATTCGTCTCATAGTTGTATAATCCATAATTTCAGACCCCCAACCTTAGACCCAGGAGGCTCGTCTCCTCTTTTTGGAATTTTGAAGAGCTGCCCATGGTGCCTAATGGAGCTGTAGGTGATCCTCCGGAGCATAAGCCCGAAGACTCAAGCACAGAATGGAAGATGGCGACCGGTAGTTTCCCCCTAGGGTATTTTAGGGGTTGTGCAGAATAGGTCGACCTATAGGGAAGCTAAGTTAACCGGGCCATCTGACCTTTTTGTTATGTCGGTGGTTCGAATGCTTGTCTGTTAAGTTTGCTGTAATACTCTGTTTGTATGCGTGGTGTAATAGCGTTGTATATATAAATGAATGGTTGTTGTTCTTTGACTGTCCTGTAGTCGTCTTTTATAGTCAGGGGTTTTGTGTTCGCTTCCGCATGCGTTTCTGATATTTGGGTTTGGTCGGCGATATTCCTAGGACGTCGCAATATTTCGATCGGAGCAGGATGTCGCGAGCTCGATGGGGTTTGGGGCGTGACACGTGGCAAAATCAATAAGGTCACTCGTCAATAAAATTTTCCAATCTGTATACTTATAGAACCTCCAGTAAATAATTCAAGGAGGACAACGTGATTGCTACAATAGGAGGTTTGTATAAAACAGGAAATCAACTGTAAACACATTTGTCCAATTTATCGTTAATCATGCATTGATTGATAAAACAGTACCAATGTGTCCTTTCATTCATTCATTTATATTTTTTCACTCCTCTTTTGACTTAGACACTCATTTATTTTATGTTTTGACCTTACTAACCCTTGTATATGTAACCACTTCAGTTACCATTCTCACTTTTTTGTTTTGTTTCTTCTTTTTCTTTCCTTGCGGATCCCATCTTCCTTTTGTTATTACTTCTCTTTCTCTGTTAGAGACAATTCTTTCTTTACATGCTTTTGATGTCTCTGATCTCGTCTTTCTGTTCATGAATTTGAGTTCAAGTCAAAGAGTTTCAATTAAGCATATAAACGTGCAAGGGCTAAGAACTCCTGATGGAACCTTCATCTTTCTAGTGAGAGGCTTCCAGGAACTGTCCATGAAATTTTTCATGCTCATTCTACCATCATGAGCATCCTCTTTCCACAGCCACCGGGTGGGGTTGAAATCCCTAGTTTGGCTCCTCAAGAGCATCAACTTATTTGACTTCATCAAGGACAAGTTGCGGTCCACCTTTGCCCCCACTGTTCACACCGCCACCTGTGTCGCCCGGCCATTGCATTTCAGAGCTGAATCGGGTCGATTGGTACCCCTCGAAGTGTCCCTTTGGAGTCCAAGGATGTGCTCGGCCTCGTCAACTCAGCCATTGGATGTGTCGCGACCTAAAATTCCTCTCGTGCTAATGGATTGTTAAGACTAAGCCCTAACTCGGGCCCTCCCAAGCCCTACCAATTCGCAACTTAGGGTTTAAGTTTTTAACATGCAAAAGTTTTTATGCTCGGAGTCGCCACTAATCAATTTATGGTAGGTTGATTAGAAACCTAAATAAAACATAGGGAGATATGTTTTATTCCTACGAACCAGAGATTCTAAGCCAATTTATGGTAGGTTGATTAGAAACCTAAATAAAACATAGGGAGATATGTTTTATTCCTACGAACCAGAGATTCCTCTCTTTTCTCTCTTCTCTCTTTTTCTCTTAAAATTCTCTCGTGTCTCTCTAAAAATCCGATCTGAAAAATTATGAGAGCCCCCTAAAATCCTAACCTAATGATGTATATATAACACTAATCTAGGTCAATTAAATGCAATTAATCTAAAATGAATTTAAACTATATGTTATGCAACCTAGATATTTTTGTTTAGGGGTTAAAAATTTAATCCCTAATTTTCTATACAAATTACGACTAAATGATACGTCAAAATTTAGGTGTCAACAGGATGGTTGCCTAGCGTGGGCGGCGTGATGATTGTTTTGGCCCACGAACTTGCCAGACATGTCCAACACATCACCTTGGGATAGGCTAACGATGTGTCGGCTGAATGTCCATCTCGAGAACTTGACAACCCAAGGTGGGGGCTGGCCACAACATGGAGGATAATCTTTTTGTGGGACTTGTTGGGTTGCCACTGTATGTTTACCTTGTCTTCATGCATTCAATCTTTATTACTGTGAATGCAAGCCTATGGGATTTCATGGGATTGTAAACTTGAACATAAGAGAAGCAACACAACGTCTTGAATTGTGAAAGAATTGTGATGAATGTGAGACCCGCAAGATTACTTGCAAGAGAGAGGAGAGAAATTAGAAGAAGAAGGAAAGTGGGACCAGAAAAAAAGAAAAAGAAAAACAAAACAAAACGAGTGAGAGTTGTCACTAAAGTGGTGGGCCACCCAAAGGGTTACTATCATCAAAACACAAAATAGGGAGTGTCTCAGTCAAAGGATGACTAGAAAAAGCTCGACGCTTTATTTATTTATCAGTGCATTACTTTATTGGAGGGTGGTTCATTCTCCCAGCGACTAGACAGCATGGGGATCCCGCTCCCTGAGCCGCTAAAGAGCTCTTATAGTTTGAGCTCGAAAAATGAGAATTTTCTAATTCAATTAGGTTTCCTGTTTTGAATAGATTTCCTAATTAGAGTAGGTTTTTTAGAAATAAGTTTCTTATTTTGAATCAAATTATTGCACATATATATATTCCTTTTCTCTTGTAATTGAGAGATGTAATAGAGAGGTACTAGGTACTAATTATCTTGAAATCCTCAGCTAAACATAGCCATGTTCATGTGCTTTTTCATGATCACTCGAGCGAGCTACAAAGAACAAGAAACCGCTAGTGCCATGGATATATGCTAAACTGACCCCTGGAAATGGACTGATCTGATTGGCGATCGCACAGAATTCAAGTAATTCCATGGGCAGGGAATCGGAGCCGTCCTAGAAAGATCTGATTAAATTATATGGAATGTTGCTCTGATATTTTCTTCCGTCTCCCGAGGCTCGCTTTCTCCACGCGACCACTCTTCACTATAAAGAGTGTACAGCTTCCCCACTTTCGACGAAAGTGCAGCAGGCGATCAAGCTTCGTCTTCTTCTTTGCATTTAAAGTGGAGGGTGTGTTTCAGTGCGCCAAGGAGATCGCTGAAATGGCCTCTCTTCACCAAAGGGTAAGAGCGCATGAACCTGACCGTCTTGTTTCTGCGATCTCTTAACATCATTTACCTTCGTCCAGGATTTGTTCCTAATCATCTACTGGTTTTCCTTCTTCCACATCTTCTTCTTTGTTTCTTTCGTTGAGATGGATTACGAAGAAAACGGGTCGTTAATGAGTATGAGAAGATCGGAAATCGACCTTTTTTGATGCGTCTCCACCCGACTGGGCTCGGTTTCGTGGCGACTTTTGCTGTTGATTTCTCTCGGCCAACAAGCATACCAACACACAGTTACGGAGCAGTTGAATGGAGGAGAGATTCTCATTTCTTGTTCGTGATTTTCTTCAGTCTTTTGTTTGATTTGTGACGCCTGTGCTAATCCGAGCGCGTATCGGGTTATAGATAGGTTTGAGGCACCAAATTAGTCGCTGAACTGAGCTCTAGTTCTTAGTCTTCTTTTGTAGCTTAACTCATCGTTTTCAGTTGGACATTGTACATTCTGTGCGTGCATCTGCTTATTGCGTCTGCCTGTCCACACTCTTCCTCTATCTTTTCTTGCTTTGAAGAGCTTCGAGGAATGTCAAAAACCAGCTCGATTCTTTCTCATTTTTTTTTTGCATAAAATGCCAGTATTATAAAGCTGATGAATTACAGCATCTTAGGAGTATCCCAGCATTACAAAAAGTGCTAATAATTAGAAAAGATGGAGGAAGGAAGTCTCCACATTATAGCCAATACAACATTTATCTAGGAGTATTTAATTTTTTGGTAGAGTAAGGCTCTACCTCTTATATTTTTACGCGCCTTAGCCAAAATAATATGGATGTCAGTGGACTTATTTTGAAACCATCTTCAGTTGCGCTCCATCTAAATGCCATAAACTGGCTCGATTCTGAAAAGCCATATCATGTCCTTGGTCGATTTCTGTTCTTCTTTTTCATGAGGAAGCAAATTGCAGTTCTCAAATGAAGTAAGTAGCCAGGAATATCTGCTTTTTTCCATAATCAGATCCTGTTTCCATAATTCAATCCTGTTCTTTCTGGGAATACTTTGCTTTAGATAATGAGTAGAAATTCTTTTTTAAGCTGTTACGCCAAGTTTGTTCTACATTTTCGTCCTTTGAGATTTGTTTTCCCATGTTATGCAGTATCTAACATGGTGTTTCAACCAACCCATCTAGATCAAGATTATCAATCTCATTCAATGGGGCAAGGCTTGATCATTGATGTTGTTTTTACAGTCAGGTCGAACTGCTGGGAGGCTGTCTTGTGGAGATGGAGTATGGAGGAACTGCATAACTTGGCAAAGCTGATGCATGCCTGATAGAGCAGAGCCTTTTTGCCAGCTCTATTGAAATGTGAGTAAGATAAAATATATCAGTTCCTATCAGACTGAGGGGTCTCCACCATAGGAATCCATCGTCTGCAAAAATGTAATCCTACACCATATGGATCCCCTTTTATTTGTAAGTACACCGTCCTTGGAATTCATTTATTGAGAAGCATATTTGACATTCCTCGACGGCCATGGCAATCTGCCATCGAATGCAACATACAATGAACTGATCTAGCAGTTTGCAATCAGCAATTTTAGTGGTTAATAATGGAATAGAGGGTAACATGGAATATAAATTGTATCCATATGAAAAAACCAATATCTTTTCTCGAAACCTGTTAGGCAAAGCAAAAGACTGACCACTATCCACTCGTTGTTTTTTGCTCATCCAAAAGATAGGGCTTTGATTGCAAGCTCAATTGGAGAAGGAGACGTTCAGGAATGTCATCTTTATCCGGTATTGCCTGAGCACTCATCTTGCTGATTTCTTTACTGGAACTAGTTTCTGCAGAAAACTGAGACAGAGGAACCAATTTGAAGTATTGATAAGTTGGGAAAAGTATTGACTCCAAACAATTGCAATAGAACAACATAGTTCTACATGGTGAAACCCTATCTTAGGAGTTTGAAAGTCTTTTTCTTAAGAAAAAAACTATTGCTGTTTGTAGAAGTATTACGTTCCTATCCATCCAAACCAATTGCTTTGTGTCAACTTGAAGTTCATGAATTCGCAAGTTCTCTTTCCAAAAGGATAACACTACTTATGTGGTGATTGATTTGCATGAACAGAAAGGTTGTGCTCTTGCGGCACCCAACGGAAAAATTCTCGGACCTGGATACATCCCACCCGTTGATCAAATGGCTACGTGGAAACCCATATAATCAATGATTATCACAACTCGAGTCCGAACAAGTCCTTCATAAGCACAAGAGTGACTTGTTTATATTGTGACAAATAGTTCAGACGTTGTCCTGCTTTTTTTTTACCTATGTGCATGATAAATGTCTAAGGAAAAAGAAAGGAAATTTTGCAGTGAAGGTAAAATTCCATGAATGGTCTATGGGCCATAAGGAAAAAGTATGTACCTCGCCCTCTGATTCTCTATAATCTCGACCTATGACTTTCGACTTCTTCCGCAGTTCTACATTTTCTTGTTCGACGTCGTCAACCTGTAACGCCTCATGAAATCAGTCAAATACAGGGATGAAGCAATTCTACTGTACTATTACAGAGAGAGAGAGAGAGAGAGAGAGAGAGAGAGTATTTTTTCCATGTCAAACCTTCCTCTTTAGCTCCCTCATTTCTTCCACGAAATTCTGTTCCTGTGTAGACGAACATTAAGACATTATTGTAATGTGAGAACATAAGTCAGGATCTTTCTTGCACAATAAGTGATAGAGTCTTCATGTATATTACCATAGAGTCTTCATGTATATTACCTTCCTCGAGCGGACATTCTTCAAACCCATTTCTAAGACATTTTCCAAATTTTTCAAGTCCTCCAAACTTAGTTTGGAAAGCTCTTCTCCCATCAGTCGCCTGCGTGCTCAATCACAGTCATATTCATCGCAAATGATCAGTTTTTTTACAAACATTCATGAAATGCTCTAGTAACATGCATTATTCTTGTGCCGAGATACATGTTGGAGCATATAGCAAAAGCTCGATACCTTCACTAGGGGAAACTGCAAAGTGGAAGGTTATATTTGAGCCCGTTTACATATCTAGTTGGACTTGCCTTCACTCAAAAGCTTAAGCTTATGAATTATGGACCAATTAGGATTTACTAGCTACTTCACACCACATAAGTTCTCCGATGTGAAACTTTTCTTAACACAAATCACACGTGTATCTTAACAAGGAAAATATAATGTGTGTTAACTCCATGTTCACTAATGGTTACTTAAGACTTCAAATCTAGCCAACATTGTCAATGGCATCCTTTTATGCATTTACTATGTCTTTTAGCACCTTTGGTTTTTCACTACACTTGAAAATAAATTTGGGCCTCATAGTAAAAAATTTTTTAGGGTAAGTGAACATTCATTTTAAAGCTTACATACTGGCAGACGAGAAACTCCACCATAGGTTGTCTTACTATGATTGACTACACTTCCAAGCGTGATATCAAGTTACATATTGATAGAATATTTAAATATTTAAATCACGTTTTCATTTAACAGTTTAAACTTATATAATAGTTGACAGTGATCTAACAAAATCTCATGTACTATCAAAGTGGAAGGTTTTGAGTTCAAATCTTTTCATACCCTAATTGCCTTCCTAATTAAATATGTCTATGCTTAGTACTAGGCAAAAGACCATACTAAACATGAGTGATAAAACATTTAAATATTAAAACAACGCATTTATCTAACAGTTTAAGCTTTTATAACAGCTAGCAGTGGTCTCACGCATACTAAACTACTTATAGTTACAGTATTAGTTAAGCTACGCTTGTATAGCTTCTTGAAAATTCTGTCTATATGCCGGTCATTTCCAAGTTGAATTAATCCTCAGTTAGATGGAAAATGCAACTTGCAACCAAGTAATTAATAATGGGGTAAAGCAAAAGATGTACCTGTTGCATTCCTGCAAACACCTCAGCTGCTGCATCATGCTCTCCGCGTCTTTTTTCAAAAACTAATGCGGTAAAATTATTGCACACAATTAGACTCGTGCAAATTATTACGATCTTTACATCTGGATGCTGCAATAAACTTTAATTACTCTCTAGTCCTTAAAACTCACATTCTTACTCAGGATAGTACTAATCTAGTTCTCCCTGTTTTGTTTGGAAATTAGTAACATAAAAATTGGTGGAGCTCGTAGGGAAGAGAGAGACCTTTAAAGCATTTAAATATAAAGTCACGCCATTTACACATATGTCTACTAGTTTAAACTTTTAGATATTCAGAGAGGGGCACAAAATTTCACTAGTATCGGAGTCAAGTTCTAGCATAGATTAGCTTGCTCATCTTATTTTCCATTCTTCGACTTCAAGAGCAAATCCTCATTCTATTTGCACTAAGTGGGGGTGCGGTAAGATTGACATCTCATTTCTCATTTTAAGCTCCATCCCACCTTATATATTTGCACCATGCTCTACCTATATGTCGATTATAAGTTTTTAGATGGAGTAGTGCCCCCATAGCATTTTTCACATAGTATTAGAAATGGAGGATATATATCGAGACCGTCATTAAATAGCATCGTTTTATCATAACTAACTTTTAGTGCTTGACAAGACCAAAAAAAGAAAAACTTTTAGTGCTTGAATCTTTGGCCCACATGCACATGCCTAGAAGATCTTAATCAGATTGTTCCTCCATCAATTACCTTAAACCTTTAGAAGAATTGGCAGTGATCCCATAATGAATATAAAGACCCTACATGTCTCACGATACGCTATATTAAAGCTTTGGAGATACAATATAACTTCTTTTCGCAAATTTAATTCTACTAGTTGTTCGGTTCGTCTCCATCATTAATTTGAATTTCTTCTTTGTTCATAAATTTCCATGTGCAAGCATTTAGCATGACCTAAAATTGAACCTCCAACGGGGTTAAGCAAAAGAGAGATTTAGTTTGTTGGTGTCAAATGAAGTGTCAACTAAAGAAAAAATTAGCTATTACTATGTTAGAGAGTAGTGTTGGTCTTCGGCATTTACCTGGATCTCCGCAGCAGTAATAGATTGTTGCCGGTTATCTTGCTTCATTGTGTTATAACGTTCGATAACTGAACTCATGCTACAAAGAGAAAAAAAAATGAACATTTTCAAATGCTGCATGAGAACTCAAGAACAGATTCCATGCAGATTGTTAAGTTACTAACAAAATCCACGAGGCACATTGTTCTTGTCTAGATTTGTTCGTGCTATCTGGTTATTTCAATCGCCACATCTAATATTAGATTGTAAGCAAACAGATCCTGAGCAACTGAAGTAATCAGCTATGAAAGACTAGATATCGAGCCTGAAGAAAAATTACTTTCATGACAACTTTTTAGAAGATTTGTTTTCTTTTTTCACAAAATTTGTACGGAATTATGGGAGAACTTTTGAGTTTTAAGGCAAGATGAAAAATCCCCAAGTTTAGCTAGCACTAATAATTAGTCCAAGGTAAATTGAGAATTGAAACTAATTGATGAAATTCAACTTTTGATATACATTTCCCCCATATTCTATTGCAACGGAGTAATACTGGAAATAGCCCGGCTCTGTTCCTCACACAAAGCAAATGAATCTGTTGAAGTGATTGAACAAATGAGAGGGTCTATGTATTTTCAACCACAAGATCGAACTTTTTATTTATCTCGATCTCAAATAGAGGCTCCAACTATTTGGACTGAAAAGGAATATCTATACCACCAATGGATTTCATAATTCCAATTTTTTCTACCAAAATTATTACATCTCTTCTTTTCTTTTTATTGGGCACCAAAGAAAATTTATTTTGATGAAGGGAAGATCGAGCTTACCTGGTGCTTGCGTAGTCGTAAAGCTTGCCAGTGCAAGAGAAGATGATGACACCGATTTCAGCGTCGCAAAGAATGGAGAGCTCCTTTGCCTTCTTTATTAGCCCAGTCCTTCTCTTGAAGAAAGTCACTTGCCTGCTCTTCGAGCAATTAATCTTTCGGATCGCAATCTTCCCCTTCACCATCTCGCTTCTTACCACTCGCAAACAAATCTTTCTAGATCAGAAGTGATGACGGTCCCTTTTTCCTGGAAAAAGATGAGGAAAAAAAAACGACGGAAGAAACTGGCTGAAATGAACGATGATGACCAAAAACAGCGTTTCGTTGAAAACCCTTGTGATTCTTAACCTTCAAGAAACAGAAGAAGACAAAAGAGAAAGATCAGTAGGACTTACGAGTTCTTGGTTAGGAACTTGTGACGGGAGATTGAAGAAAGTCGTCGGTCGTCTTGAAGATGCACTCTCAAAGTGCAGTTCTTTTTAGGTGAGGCTGCGTTTTGAAGGGTGTAACGATGAGGGGAAAAAGAACAAAGGCAAAGCAACTTATTTTAATGCTTGTGAATTTTTTTTAATGAGATGGGATTAGGTATCACAAAGCCCACTGTTTTGAGGCTTCTGCATGAGGGATCGAACCATTAAGATGGTGCAGAGAGAAATAAAGAGAGGTGTGTGTGCTCTTATGTGAACAAAGATCCACTTAC